ATTATTTTTTAAATGATTTTATTTAGGGGCTGGCAGGTGGTGTGGTGGTTAAGGATGCTGGACTCCCACATGGCTGACCACAGACTAAGCCTGGCAGCTTGCTTTCTCACTTTCTCTCTCTCACTCACTCTGATCAAATTAAAATAAATAAATACAGTTAAATAACAAATAATTCTCTAAAAGATTTTTTTACTTAGCTTTATTTATTTAATTTGATCAGAGAGGGAAAGTACAAGAGAGGAAAGTGAGAAAGCAAGCCACCAGGTCCAGAACTTCAACCATGGTTGGCCATGTGGGAGTCCAGTGCCCCTAACCACCACGCCACCTGCCAGCCCCATCCTGGTATGATTTTTCAAACCACTGGGTCCAGGACTCAAACTGCAGTTGACCATGTGGGAATTCAACACTGTAACCACTGTACCACCTGCTGGCCCCACACAGCCACATTTTTTTTGTTGTTACTTTTTTACTTATTTTATTTGACCACAGAGAGAGAGAGAGAGAGAGAGAGAGAGAGAGAGAGGCAGAGAGGGACAGAGAGAGGGAGAGGGGGTGAGAAAGCAGGCCTCCAGGTTTAGGACTTGAACTGTGGTTGGCCATGTGGGAGTCCAGTGCCCTTAGCCACCATGCCACCTGCTGGCCACCGACACAACCAGTATTAGCAGGTCTGTTAAGGTATGGGGCACCCTGAGTCTGGGGGTAGGCTTCAATGATAGCCTAGGACCCAGGAGTCATCACATACCAGACAGCTGTACCCGAGCCCTCCATCTAACCCCCTTCCCACACCTGTCCCCCTCTTAATTTTTCCGCACCTCAGAAAATGGTCCTCTCGGGGCTGGCAGGTGGTGTGGTGGTTGAGGTGCTGGACTCCCACATGGCCGACCACAGTTCAAGTCCCGGACCTGGTGGTTTGCTTTCTCACTCTCCCTTTCTCTCTGCCTGTCTCTCTCTGGTCAAAATTGAAGAAGAATGGTAATAGATATAATTAAAAATAAATCTTAAAAAAAAAGAAAATGGTACTCTCTCCCACCCAATTTTCTTTCATTTTTTTTTAAATTTGCTATAGGACATTGTGTTCACTGGAGAAAGACAGAGAATTACGATTGATTTTCTTTTCTTGAGAGATTTTTGCTAAAGGGCATGTGCACTTGCTAGAAAGACAGAAAGAGAGAGACAGAAAGCGAGAAATCACCCTTCCGGGGGGAATGACCATGCTGCAATCCCTTCTCTTTTATTTTCCTCTTGGGCACACATGCACACGCACTCATAGTGAGGTTTAAGCCACTGGGTCCAGGACCCAAACCGCGATCCACGATGTGGGCGCCAACCGACGTAACCGTTAACGCCATCTACTGGTCCTACCATTGATTAAGTGTGACAGTGGTGTGGTGGGTATGTAGGAGAATGTCACTTTTATTAGGAGATTTCTGCTGAGGCTTTAAGGAGTGAAATGATAAAAAGTTTGCAACTTCCTTTCAAATAACTTTCCATCTCATGTCTTGTCCCACTCTTAGGGTTCCAATTTCAACCAAACTAATTTATTCATTAAGCAGTATGTACTGAGCATCTTCTGTGTCAGGTATGACCAGCAGAGGTAATATGGTTGTTGGGGGGACTGAACACCAGGTAGGTGTTCATACATTTTCATATGTACATGTATGTACATATGTAGTGATGAGTGCCTTGGAGAGAATATAAGAAGAGCAGGATGAGGGATGGGGTGGGATCTTTTCTTTTAAAAAACATATTAATTAATTATTATTATTCAATTTGATGAGAGAGAGAGAAAGCAAGCTGCCAGGTCTGGGACTCAAATCGTAGTCGGCCATGTAGGGGTCCAGTGCCTCAGCCACCACACCCCTTGCCAGCCCCAAGGGTGAGATCTTTTCATCAGAGTGGTTGGAAGAGCCCAGAGAATAAGCCAAGAGGAAACATTAAGGGTTAGGAACAGTAAGGTGGTCAGTGTGGCTGGAGGGGAGAGAAGGAGGGACAAAGGGAAGGATGTGGAGATGTGGTCAGGGAGGGCAGATTTTGATTTATTTTATTTTTATTTTAGTTTTGCTACAAGATGAGTGTGCTTGCCAGAGTGAAAGAGAGATAAAGTGAGAAACCACACCACCCCTCAGGGGAGATGGCCATCCCACAATCCCTTCCCTTCCATTCTCCTCTTGGAATTTTTGGCATGCATGCACGTGCACCTGGTGTGATTTTCAAGCTGTCTGATCTGGGACTCAAACCATGTAGTTGGCCATGTGGGATTCAGCATCTTAACCTCCATGTCACCTGCTAGCCCCAGATTTTTATTTTAATTAATTAATTAATTATTATTTTTTAGAGAGTTTTTTTTCTACAGGGTGCGTGCACTTGCTGGAGAGACAGAGACAGAGAGAGAGAAAGTGAGAAATCACCCCCCAGAGGGGATGGCCACACCACAATCCCTTCTCCTCCATTCTTCTCCTGGGATCTTGGGCACGCACACACACACATGCCTGGTGTGAGTTTCAAGTCACCAGATCCAGGCCTTGAGCCACGGTGAACCATGTGGGAGTCCAGTGATGTAACCACTACGCCATCTGCTGGCCCAGATTTTAATTTTTAATCCAAGTGCTACTGTAAACAAGGGAGCATTACAATCTGAGTTGCTTTAATTAAAGTGTGATGTAACCATAATAAAATGCACGAATTTTACATGAAACTCAATGAGCACATATACAGACTTGTGTAACCATCCCAAGGTCATGACAGAGTATTCCTCCTGGAGAGTTTCTTTTATTAAATTCTTTCTTTTTTTTAATGACAGAGAGAGAGTGTGTGTGTATATATATATATATATATATAGAGAGAGAGAGAGAGAGAGTATATATATATCTGAGGAATGTCCACCTTGTGCTCATCAGGATGCAAGTCCCCAACTGCGGTTGGGGGCACTATCTCTCTCCATCTACATTAGGAAAGTGATTGAGACATCCGAGACGTGGAAAAAGGGTTCTGTGAGAAACAGTAGATGAGTACATCGTAGGCTGGCCTAGGAGTGAACACAAGCGTGAAAATAATCTGGAGTAGTCAGAGACCAATATAACCCTCTCAGATGGAAGAGCAAAGAATTTAGGCAGTACCCTCTTAATCCACTAGGTGTCACCACCGAGATTACCTCGCAAGGCGCCTGTGGAGGAGACCAAATGGGATAGACCATTTCCTGGGGGATATTGAATCCTTGTGAGGGGTCTGTCCCCAAACACAAGTCATATTTAACCAGAAAAACTTGTTTCTTCAGTCTCTGTCTCCCTTTTCGCTCATTTCCTTTTCCTGTTTAAACCCACTCACGTCTCTATTTTGAAAAACACTGTCTTTGACCCTCCATGCTGGCTCCATTCCTTCTTGCTGCCAGTTCATGGTCAAATTTCCTGAAAATGCTGTTAACACTTACTGTTTCCACTTCCACCTCTCCCATTCATTCGTTTTTTATTTTGTCTTGTTTTCCAACTTTTTATCATGAAAAGTTTCAAACAGAAAAGTCGAAAGGTACAATGAATACTCTTAAGCCGTCCCAGATTCACTAACATTTTGCTAAATTTCCTTTTGTTTTCTATTTCTCTCTCCACTATACACACACACACACACATTTTTCTTTTGCCAAACTATTTGAAAGTTGCAAACTTCTTATTACTTCACTCCTTAAAGCCTCAGTAGGAATCTCCTATTAATAACACCTGCCACACCATTATCACACTTAAGAAAATCTACAACAGGGGGCCAGCAGTGGCGTGGTGGTTAAGGTGCTGGACACTCCCACATGGCTGTCCACGGTTCAAGTCCTGGGCCTGGCGGCTTGCTTTCTCACTTTCCCTCTCTGACTCTCTGTCTCTCTCTGATCAAAGTAAAATAAAATAAATGAATAAATAAAATAAAATTAAAAAAGAAAATCAACAACAAGAGGCTAGCAAATGGCATGGTAGTTAAGGTGCTGGACTCCCACATGGCTGACTGTGGTTTGAGTCCTGTATCTGGCACCTTGTTTTCTCACTTTCTCTCTCTTTCTGTCTCTCTTTGGTCAAAATAAGAAATAATAATAATGGGACCAGCATGTGGCATAATGGTTATGTTGCTAGACTCCCACACGGCTGACTGTGGCTTAAACTCTGGACCTGAAGGCTTGAAACTCATGCTGGGTGCATGAACGTACATGCCCAAAATCCTGAGAGGAGAATGGAATGGAGGAGAAGGAATTGCAGCATGGCCATCCCCCCTGGGGGGTCATTTCTTGCTTTACGTCTCTCTACCTGTCTTTCTTTTTCTCTCTCTCTGGCAAGTATATGTGCCCTACAGCAAAAATTTCTTTCAAAATAAACAAACAAATAAATAATTGCTTTAAACATTTTTTTAAAAAGAAAAAAAATCAGCAGCAGTTCTGAGGCCACCAATATCCACTCTCTATTTAAATCTCCTGTGTTGTCTCAAAAGTGTCTTTTTTTCCTTTTTCAGTTTACCAGAGAGTGCAAGTGCTCAGCTCACCCAAGGGAGACAAGGAAAATGGAAAGTACCCCCTGTGGGGGATGGTCATGCTGAAGTTTCTTCTCCTTTATCCCTCCTTCTTTTTATTTATTTTTAAAAAGAATTATTTTATTTAACTTTATTTATTTATTTATTTTAATTTGACCAGAGAGGGACAGAGAGTGAGAAAAAAAGTAAGAAAGCAAGCCACCAGGTCTGGGACTCAAACCATGGTCAGTCATGTGGGAGCCCAGCACCCTTAACCACCATGCCACCTGGTGATCCCTTATTTATTTATTTTAATTTTATTTATTCATTCATTTATTTTTAATTTGACCAGGAAGAGAGAGAGAGGGGGAGATAGTGAGAAAGAAAGCCACCAGGGTCCAGGACTCAAACCGCAGTTGACCATGTGGAAGTCCACATTACACCACCTGCTGGCCCACCCAGATTCTTCCCCGCACCAAGGCTCCACCACCGGCCTGAGCAAGCCCAGAAGCCTCCCCTTCTTGGTGTCCTCCTCTTCCCATGTTCAAATTATCTTAGAATTTAAAATGACAGAGTACAGCGCAATGTATATTATAAAGTTACTAAATTGAATTAATATGGTTAGGAAAATAAAAGTTTTTTTGAGAGACTTTAACCAGAGAGAGGGTGAGAAAGCAAGTCACTAGGTCTGGGATTCAAACTGTGGTCAGCTATGTGGGAGTCCAGCACTTTTGACCACCTTGTCACCTACCAGCCCCTTAAGAGAGATTTTTGTGGGACCAGCAGTTGGCATAATGGCTATGTCACTAGACTCCCACTGTGAAGACACGGTGACTTCAAAAAGTTCATAGAAAATGGAATTAAATACAAGTTTAGGAGCCAGCAAGTAGGGTAGTGGTTAATGGACTAGACTCCCGCATGGCTGACAGCAGTTCAAGTCGTGGACCTGGAGTCCTGAAACTCTTGCCAGGTATGTGTGCCTGTGTGCCCAAGATTTCAAGAGGAGAAGGGGGGAAAATGGACTGCATCATGGCCGTCACCTCTGAGGGGAGGCGATTTCTCGCTTTCTTTCTTTCTGGTGAGCACACACACCCTATAGCAAAACCTCTCCCAAAAAAAATAAAAAAATAAAAAAAGATTTAAAAAAAAATGCACAGGGACCAGCAAGTAGTGTAATGGCTATGTCGCTGGAGTCCCATGTACTCAACCATGGTTCGAGTCCCAGACCTGGTGGCTTAAAACTCATGCTGGGCGCGTGTGCGTGTGTGCCCAAGATCTTGAAAGGACAATGGAGGAGAAGGGATTGCAGCATGGCCATTCCTCCCGGGGGGGTGATTTCTCGCTTTCTGTCTCTTTGTCTCTGTCTGTCTGGTGAGTGCACGTACCCTATAGCAAAAACCTCTCCAAAAAAAAAAAAAAGAAGATTGACTGTAGGTGCCAGCAGGTGGCTTAGTGGTTAAGGCACTGGACTCCCACATGGTCGACCATGGTTCAAATTCTGGACCTGGTAGCTTTAAACTTACACCGGGCATGTGTGCGTGCATGCCCAAAATCCCAAGAGGAGAATGGAGGAGATGAGGTTGCAGCTTGACATCCTTCCTGGGGGGGGGGGGGATTTCTCACTTTCCCTCTCACTGTATGTATGGTGAGCATGTGCGCCCTATGGCAAAAACCTTAAAAAAAATGTGTGCATGAGAGAGGGAGTGAGGAGAAGAGCGTGAAAACAAAAAACAACAAAAAAAACCACCCCACCCTCAAGATCTCATCACAGCTCGGTCCCTTTGCTCCAGTGTGCACTTGGTACCTTTTCAAAACTGACCCAGGATCCGAGGCTTTAAGCCTTTCAGGCACTTGTGTCACAGTGGCTGGGCTCCTCACTCATTTTTAAATTGGGTTATTTATTTAATACTAATTGAATTATAAGAGTGCTGTTAAGCTGTATGTAAACACTGCCATTCTGGGTGCAGTGCTCAGCAACTCCCAGCCCCAGGACTGTGCTCGTGAGACTCATCCAGGTCAACGTGAGTAACTCTGGTCTGGTCTGGCTGCTCTGTGTCTCTTCCATTCTCCGACCAGTGCATCAGGCTTCCGCTCCTATCACTCACTGAAAATGCCCCAGTCAAGGTCACCGATGACTCAGATGTTACCAAATCCAAGGACACTTATTTTCCTCTTGCTGGGATTTGATATTTCTGACCATTCCTCCACTGCTTTCAGGATGCCACACTATCACGCTATCCTCTGTCCTTTCTTCCTCGGTTTCCCTCACCGGCCTCCTCCCCAAGCCTGAGTCATACCTGGAGTTCCTCTTCTCTTTCCTCTGGGATCCTGGGCTTAGATTTCATCATTATATTTTTGTTCGGGATCTACTGCTGCAAGACAGATGATTTCGAACTGAGTGGTTTAAGACAACAACCTTTTTTTAAAAAAAAAAAAAAATTAGTGGGAACCAGCAGTTAGCATAATGGCTATGTCGCTGGATTCCCATGTAGTCGACCACGGTTTGCGTCCCGGACCCAGTGGCTTAAAACTCACACTGGGCACGTGTGTGTGCGTGCCCAAGATCCTGAGAGGAGAATGGAGGAGAAGGGATTGCGGCGTGACCATCCCCTCTGAGGGGGAATTTCTCGCTTTCTGTCTCTATGTCTGTCTGTCTGGCGAGCGCACACGCCCTGTAGCAAAAACCTCTCCAAAAAAAAATTAGTTATGGGACCAGCGGGTAGCATGGTGGCTAAGGCCGACCACAGTTTGAGTCCCAGACCTGGTGGCTTGCTTTCTCACTCCCCTCTCTCCTCTCTCTGTGTGTGTTTCTCTCTGTTCAAAATTAAAAAATAAGTGAATGAATAAATAAAATTAAAATAAGTATTTAAAAATAAATAAATAAAAATGATTTATTTTAGGGACCAGCAGATGGCGTAATGGTTACGTCGCTGGATTCCCACCTAGTTGACGGAGGTTTGAGTCCTGGGCCCGGAGGCTTAAACTCCTACCAGGCACGTGTCATGCATATCCAAAATCCCAAGAGGAGGGATTGAGGTGTGGTCATCCCCCCAGGGGGTGATTTCTTGCTTTCTGTCTCTCTATCTCTGTCTTTCTGGCAAGCGCATGTGCCTTATGGCAAGAATCTCTCTCTAAAAACAAATTATTTTATTATTTTTAAAATTTGCTATAAGGCACATGCACTCAACCAGAGAGAGAGAGAGAGGAAAAATGAGAAAGCACGCTGCCAGGTCTGAAACCACAGTTGCCATGTAGGAGTCCAGCACCGTAACCACTATGCCACCTGCTGGCCCCAATCCTTCCCTCCTTGTCTTGAGAGAAGTCGACTATTTCACTCTTAAGTATGATGTTAAGTGTAATTTTCTTTTGTGTAAATGTCTGTATCAGATTGAGGACTGTATGCTTATTTCTCCTTTGCTGAGGCACAGCTGCAATCTCTGCTCAGTCCTTGCAGCCTTAGATGGGTTTCTTGGGATCTGCTTCCTTGTGTGTTATTCAGGGGTCAGTCAGAGACTTGGGAAGAATTTCTATATACAATACTCATGTCTCCTCTCTGTGGCTTTCTTCTTTTCTTGACATATTCCTTCAATCTTCCAAAAGTGACAGGAGCCCCTAAATTCATTCTTTCATTTATTAACCCGTAAGACTGCATATTGCTATATAAATTTGAGCTGCTCTGTGGCTAGAAAAGCTCCAGAACAATACAATCTTTCAGTGACATTTCTTTCTTTCAAAAGTTTATTCTTCTCCAGTTTTTTTCTGTTGTTAGTATTGTTTTCTGATAGTTACATTTGTTTTTAAAATGAGATTTTCAAAGTTTGCAATTGTTTTCTGTGAGAAGTTTAGTTCAATGTAACTGAGTTCATCGTTACTAGAAATGACAACTGCCTTTTAAAACCGTGTGGTCACGTGGTCCCTTAGGAGAATATGGCATTTAAGAAAATATTTCAAAGAAGGGAGGGGTTTCACCCAACACGACAGATCTTGTTTTTGTTTTTGGAAAAGCTTTGCAGGCATGCAGAAGGCTACAGCCAAGGGGAGAACATGACTGGCGTTCTCAAGGAACCAGGAGGCTGGTATGATATTAGGACATTGTTAGAACAGGAGAGTGGCCAGTGATGCGAACAGACAGATAATTTAGGGCTTTGGAATAGAACGGATCATCCCGGGCCTGGTTTACCATTGTAAGGTAAAAGCATTGTGGAAGAGTGGTGTGATCACACATGCATTTCAGAAGTACAATCTTACTGTTTTCTTGTGAATAGACTGAATGGAGCAAATGAAGAGACAGGGCACTAATCAGTGGACAGTGAGGACAGTGAAGTTCTAGATACTTTATGAAGAAAGGTCCTAAGTTTGAGCCCCAGGGCTCCCTTTACATACTGGGTATGAGTGTGGCTGTCTGTGATCCAGGCTGGGTCAGGCTGGGGGGGTGGATTACAGGTGGGAGTGTACCTGTACCTCTCTCTCTCCCTCCCTGGGAATATCATAAACTAAAAAGAAAAAGAAACTAGTTTAAGTCCTAACCAAAAAAAAAAAAAAAAAAACCTCTT